AATTAAACATGAGCACGTGAGGCGCAGAAATTAGTGGTGGGCACGTGCCCGGTTTTAATGACTTTTCTGGGTCGTTTGAACTTCGGACCTTATTTCTTCCGCCTCCCACGTGCTGTACAAGGTGTTCCCATCTAATGGGGTCCACAAATTTGTCATACAGGTGTTTGTTTCCGACTACACAAAATCACAATTCCTCTCTCATTTTCGGGTTATTATACCCTAATCTTCTGTATAATTCACGGACAAACTCAAATTTAGGAGGAGTATTTAAAATTATGGTGCTATCATATTATCATCGTCATATGTCATGATCATGTAATAAGANGTCATGTAGGCTACACAAAATCACAATTCCTCTCTCATTTTCGGGTTATTATACCCTAATCTTCTGTATAATTCACGGACAAACTCAAATTTAGGAGGAGTATTTAAAATTATGGTGCTATCATATTATCATCGTCATATGTCATGATCATGTAATAAGAAAATAATAAGTAAGTGGATTTCACATTATTCATTAAAAAAATCACTTCATACATTTCATTATATTTTATTAGCTGGTGACATCATATATATATATATATATATTGGTGATACTGTAATCTCAATCAACCCATTTCTTACATCTCTTTTCATCGTCTTCTTATTCATCTCATTCCATTAAGAAAGAATTCTTAGTTGATATCTTAGCCNCAAGTAAGTGGATTCACATTATTCATTAAAAAAATCACTTCATACATTTCATTATTTTTTATTAGCCGGTGACATCATATATGTATATATATATTGGTGATACTGTAATCTCAATCAACCCATTTCTTACATCTCTTTTCATCGTCTTCTTATTCATCTCATTCCATTAAGAAAGAATTCTTAGTTGATATCTTAGCCAAAAAAGCTTATATTTAGATCAAGACAATGATTTTATTAATAGATTAAGGCTCAACCTTTAGATCGTTCTATCGGTGTTTGAAAAACTATTCGGTTGGTTTGCTCCTTTTAATGGGCATTCTTAATCGTCCTCCACCGAAGGTTAACATCCAATAGATCAAATGGTAAGCTCTTTCATATATACTCTTAGTTTTACTTGGTCGGGGTAGAGTTTCAACATGCCTTCCATAAAATATAAAAAATTTAGAACTACCTAACCTACTTTGTCCCTCACGTTAGGATGGAGGGATCACCCGAGATCTGCTTCATTTATCACGTGTGTACTAGAATAAATTCTGAATTTTATTGAATTTAACATAACACGATGATTTCAACAAAGGTGAGAACTTGATGTTTCGATGCTTGTCGGTAATTGTTGAACAGTTTTCCATCCCATATTCGAGAGAGAGAGAGAGAAATCATCCCTCCGAACATGAGGGCACCATTTCCGTAGCTTTTGGTTAATCAAATATGTGAACACAATGATTTTGTACGTGTTCCCCCCTTTTAGACTCCTTTGTCACTTTGTGAAAGTAAGAGGAACCAACCCACCTGTTACTACAATAACCGAGTCATTAAAAAAAGAATTGAATAAATTAATATAATAATTTAAAACTACATCGAGATAAGGCAAAAAAAAAAAGAACATGGCTATTTGAGCCAAAAGGGTCCAAAGAAAAGACCTTTATTTTGTACAGGAGTGAGCCATAAGACTCGTGGGGGTGGGGAGTGGTTGGAGAATAACAAGCCGCGAGAAACGTTTCCTTTGCTTTGTGCATGGATTGATCTATATCAGTCAGTGTCTAAATCCTGGTGGTGGTGGGTAGCTTCAAGCCTTCAACACTCTTCTTGTCTCTTTTTTTATCTATTATTTTTTTGGAGGGAGGGAGAGGGAAAGGAAAAGTTGAACTCTTAATCTCAAAAAAATAAAGATTTTACAAAGTAAGAAATACCGTTAAACTAAATATTTGTTGCTAGACTTGTCTCTTTAAAGACTCCAAAAGAGACAGCAAATTATCTTCTCTATGTCAACCCTCGGTTGACTTGCATAACCCTTATGCAACACAATGTTATACTGTAGCTCTCTATGACTTTAAACCATATAGTAGAATGAAAATCTAAGATTCACACTTAACAAAGCGATTGCCTCACTGGGTCGTCACCCACACCAGCACACCCACATATATATATATATATATAAAGAGAGAGAGAGAGAGAGAGAGAGAGAGAGAGAGNTCCACACACACATATATATATATATATATATATATAAAAAGAGAGAGAGAGAGAGAGAGAGAGAGAGAGAGAGAGAGATTATGAGTGTATATGTTTGCATTTGTGCTTGTGGGAGTTATAATCACTTTGGAGAGTTGGGTTGAAAAAGCTAAATGAACTATTCTTTGTCCCAAAAATGGCTGTGCTAGTGCTAAGTACATGGTCATCTTTACATAGTAGTGCTTCACCCTATACAAAAGCAGCTTTTTTCAGCGACTCTTTGTATTCTCTCTATTATTTTATGTAAAACCCTTTAATTAGACTACAAAATAAAGGGAAAAGGGGTAAAAACTAAATAATTGTGGAGGATTAATTTTGAGTTTAAAATAAATATGCCAATTCTAAGAGTGATACATTTCTTTTTATTAACAGGTGTGAACTCTAGTATCACACAACCAACAAACCAGGATACTCTAGTCCAAATACTACATGGGCTATTACACGTAGAAAATCGAAAGATTGATATCTGACTAAATGATTTCTTAACAGCCCAAAAGTAACTAACTTGGGTAGAGAGAACTAAACGACAAAAGGCTTGCAGTGGATATTTGGGTTTCACATACATGAAGGTGTGGTAAGCGATGAAATAGTTCACGATGTTGAAAATAAGCTCAAGTATGGAGATTTCCCAATAAGTCAACTTTTTGGACTGGTAGTGATTAATCCACTGGTAGGCAAGCAAAAAGTTGATGAATTGAAAACATTGTAATTGTTAGAAGAAAAGAAAGCAAAAACGACACCCGTAACAACCCCAATCTTGGAATTGGATGCCAATAGCAGCTCCTACCAAAAGGTGCATTACGAAAGCCGGCCCACAGTCTTTTTTTAGAGCTAATCTTTCTTTATTATTGAATCCATGAACTGTAGTCCTCTTCTTCCCATAGCATTCCTATAAATCAACCAGCTAAATATGGCTAGGCCCAACTCACTGCAGCTTCATGATTGGACAAATATAGCATCAGCCCAATACATATTTTTGCACAAATCATAGTCACAGACATGAAATGAGAATAATTACTGCCAAAACTTTCCTAGCTATATATATATATATATTTGGTTCAACAGTCAGATATATTTTGATCAATTTATGCGCTCTTCGACTAATTCCCTATCTAGTTCATCAAAGACAAGTCATCCACCCTTAGATTAAGGAATTTGTGAATGATAAATCTCTCATGACTTGATCTCAAAGAATTGTTAAGATTTGAACTCAAGTCGTCCGAGTTTATAGTTCGTCTTTGTTACTACTTGAGCTACTCTTTGAGATTCCTAACTATATTTACTTACCTTATTAATGGGTATATAAAGAGATATATTAATTTAAATTTATTTTATAATAAAACTTAGGACTCTCCTGATGATGCACAAAACGTGTTTATGCACCACTTTTCAAGTATTAAATACATTAATAAATGATGAGAGTCAACACAAACAAAACACAGTTTTAAGTGGTTCGATTAAGGTGACCTACTATATTGTGAAGGGTTAGGATAGTCTGAGTATTTTATTGTTCAAGGGGTGTAGAGTGCTCGGATGTGAGTGAGATGTCTCCCTTGTATAGGTGGGGCTTATAATTTATTGGTGTCTCCTAACATATTGAGGTGTCTTTCTCGTATCAGATGAGATAATTCAGTGGAGATAATGCCTTTCTTCAAATTAGGAGAGATAATTCTACGGAGGTGATGACATGTGCGTCTCATGAAAATCTTCTCGCATGTCAGTTGTGGATTGAGTCTCTCGCTGTGATACGACTAACTTGACTCTCTCAAAATGGCGCGACTGACCTGTCCTAGTTTCCTTCATCCTATGGTGGGCTTAGTTTGAATTCTTAAATTGGGCCTCTGAGTTGAGCTTGATTTGTAATTGTCAGGCTGGTCTGAGCCGGGCCAAACTCAGGTTGGTTTGGCTTTGGACAGTGGTGAGATATATGTTGCAGTCTCTCCAACAACCTAAATTTCGTGTTTAGTTTCTAGGTGATTGAATTTATTCGGAATTTGTGTTATGGCCATGAATCCAATTCACACGTGATTGAATCAAATCGCAACAACAAATTCCACTAGGACACTTACCGTAAACAATTCTTCAAATTGCTTAGCAGCACCCTATTAATTGTTTTAACTTTGACTTGAAGGCAATTTGCATTACAACATACGAAGGAATGATTTACACCGTTTCTCATGTATACCTGATAATTCCCTTAAACTTCCTTCATTAACCTATATGCATGGGACCCTTATATTGTCTTGATCGAGTATAAATGTCTCAAAACCACTAATAAAATTGGAGAGGAAGGGATATCTTAAGCCAACCATCAAGCATATCCTTTCAATCCATCGAGAAGATCAACAACTGGAAATAAATTAAAATGAATATGACAGATACTAAAATTGAACTTGTTAGAGGACCTAAGTTTAACTAGTTTAAGTAAAGGCTTATACTTAATAAATATCTTTTTTTTTTCAATGAGTGTTCAGATCAGCTCACACGCACATCGACTAATTCCCTTTTTGATCTCGTCAAAGACAGGTCATCCGCGACTAAACTAGAGTAATCATGAGTGATAAATTCCTTATGACCTATCCCCGAGAAGTTGCCAAATTTTAAAGTTAGAACATTTAAGTTTATAGCCCGTTCATGTTACCGCTTACACTACCGAAAGGATTAACAAATATCTTTAGCCTATGATGAAGAATGGCAATTGGCAAAAGGTCAATTTTGAGGGGAAAGTTTAATTTTTTTTAATTTTTTGGGATTCTGATAGGAATGTTCGGTGCAACCTGTGAGAGAGAGAATCCATGCTTGGGAACTTGGTGGCATGTGCTATGAGCCAAGACGATGCAAACAACGACACTGATGAACCAAGAACAGTTTTTCTTGGGCATGTCGTAGGCGAAAAAAGCTATGTGCCGAGGCAGACCTTTTCTCTATCAACTTCTTCATTTCAAACTGTTAGAAAGGCAATAGAATCTTTGCCAGTCCAAGCCGGTGACTGTTAAAACGTGTAGAGTGTAGACCCATGATGTGGATTTGTAATAATGATTTGTGATGGATCGGGTTATATAGTTTCTTCGCTCTTCTTAATCTCTCGGGATGTGAGAGAAGTATTTTGTGTTCTTCGGTCTCTTGGTTTGTGAGTTTTATTAGGTTTTGTTTGATTGACGTCTAAAAAAATAGTATCTAAAAATTATGTTTAAAAAAAATTTAAAAAAATTGGTATTTTGGTGTTATTTGTGTCCCAAAATTTATTTGGTTATATAATTTAAAAAATAACTCTAAGAAATAGAAAACAGTAAAATTTTTTTGGACAGTAACTCAGAATACAGAAATGTGATGATGGTGGTAGTGGAAGTGTGGTGGTGTTTTCTAAATTTACACACTTTTTATTCTTAGTTTTCAAAAAATAAAAACAAAAAACAGTTGGCCAAACAATTTTTTTCTTAAAAACTATTTTCAAAAATAAAAAAATTGTTTTTAAAATACAAATCAAACATGACCTTAGTTTCTACATGTTTTTGAGCTATATTCTCTAGCTAGACAATTACTATGTAAGTTTTGAATTAAGTTTTATATATTTGTTTAGCTAGACAATTACTGTGTAAGTTTTGAATTAAGTTTATATATTTCTTTAGATAAAAATAATAATAATTAAGTATTTAAAAATATCTTTGGTAATGGGTCCTATGAAACATAGTGCAAGATTAACATGTACAAGAGTCTCATGTCCCAGTCATGGATAATTCTTCCAATAACCATTTCTTTAATGGTGAAAGAACAAGTTATCCTTGTGAAGTGGTGTATGTGAGGCTGATGTGACAAGAATAAAACTAACAAAAGAGAGAATTTAGGTGCAAATTATAAATAATTTTAAGTTGTTCATCAGGAGGGTCCACATCCAGGTGGGGGAGTACGTTTGACACACGCAGTTTTAATAATTAATTAAGTCGACAATGTTGTCACCTTAATCTTGAAGAAAGGGAAAAGACAACCATACACACGGTGCACCAACAGTCAATGAGAAATAATTTTATTTGAAGTGACTCCTTCCCTTTTTTTTATAATAATGTCACCGCGTCGTAATATGTCCTAAACATCCACCCGGGTGGTCATTGTTGGGCGTTATTGGAGGTTTAGGCATCATTAAGAACTAAAATTAATGATAAATTCTCTCCAAAACTAAAAGCTAGTTATTATGGTGGAGATGTTTTTATTTTTCTAAATTTTGTCATAAGTTTTGGGTATTTTGTATGGACTAGTGGGTGAAGTGTAAGTAATCCACGGAGAAAAGGAGAATTGGATTCTACTTGGATTTCATTTAATTCTAATTCGAAATGTGACTCAATCTTTGTACTTTTTAACAATTAATAGATCAGCATATTCGGAGACTAGGAGCGTTTTCCAAAATATATTTCAAAAATTTCACCCTCAATGTTTCTACACCACATATTAGATGAAAAAGTAAGTTTTTTTGGGCCCCGCGACAGAATGTGTGTGGTACAGAAGCATTTGGGAAGGAAAATTTGGGATATATTTTGGGAAGTATAGTATTTCTCTTATTGGAAAGAAAAAATTTGTGCAAGTATATTTCATGGCGCAGATGCCATATTATTCTCTTCCCGTTTGATGCTTGAGTGCATGACCTTGAGTTCATGAGTGACTTGCACAATAATGACTAAAGGATAGAAGAAATTTAAGAAGTGAAAGTGTGCCTTTAAAATAAATGGCAACGCAGAGAAAAGAGTGACATAGGATTGTTGCAAATGTATACCTATTTCCTATGCCTTCGCACATTTGCTTTTGTCTTCTTTTTCAGATACTAGTCCACGAGTGTTTACCTGGTGTATAAGTTTAATTCCTCTAAAAATATGTATGAAATGTTCTCCAATGATAACTCAAGTGATAATAAGAATAAATTATAAATTTAAACATTTTAAATTCGAATATTAGTATCCCCTTACAACTAAACTATGAGGGATACTCCTTGTGAATATTCTAGTCTAAATGTAGATGGTCTGTTTTTGATCAAACAGGGAAGAAGATTAATTGAAGTACGCATAAACTAATCCATACACTTCTGACATATAACCAAAAAAAAAAGAACACTAGTAGGCGGATCCAAACTCTCTTTATTACATTTTGATCAAAATTTCTCTCAACGATAAATCATTAGTTATATATACTAGAGAACTACTTATAAATAATGAGTCTCACTTAAATTTAATAAAAGTGTAGTAAACAGAATTTTAATCTGTAGTAGACATTCTTATTACCACATCACAAAGAATATGAGGTCTCAAATCTTCTCCAAAATTGAATTCGTTGGACGTGATCTATGAAGGATAAAAATAGAGAAACAATATATCGGTTGAAATGTTATCTCCCACCACCAAAGTATATAAAAGATTCAAGGGCGAGGAAACTCGTTAATTAGCATCACCAACAGCTTTAATTCAAGTTATATTACACGATCTCCTGTAAGTCTAAACTCATTTAACATTAACCTTCTCTCATTATCTTATTTCAAGAAAAGTTATTCTTATTCTTTTGCTGAATTTTCATTCACTTGTTCATGATTAAGCTTATCTGCTTCATTTCTCTCTCTCTCTCTCACTCATCATTTAGAGGGAGAGTGACTGAAATATGGATATGAATCAGTCAATAAATGGGCGTTGACGCCTATGTAAGAAAATATGGTCATTATATACACTAGATAACTAAATGAGTGGCTAATCCCTCTCTGTGCTAAAATCCAATTGCTAAATTCAAAACCTTGGTGATACATCCAGGGCTAGATTTCTCTCTTTCTCTCTCTCTCTCTTCCCCGCCCCACCCACCAATACCACGCACAACACACTACTATGTCCATCTCCTATTTAACACCATTCGGCATTTCATCAGTTCCATCTCTCACCTACCTTAAATGATACCAGTGCCCTCTTCGGCATTTCAACAGCTCCATCTCCAAAAATTGGCTGAATCTCAAGGCCATCAACTGAACACTAGCTCAACAAGTGGCTCTTGGATGTGGAACCCTACTCAACCGGCTCAAGAAGACGATGATTCATGGGAAGTAAGAGCCTTCGCAGAAGACACAGGTAACATCGACGGCACCACTTGGCCACCACGATTTTACAATTGCACCTTTTGTAGAAGGGAATTCAAGTCAGCCCAAGCCCTAGGCGGCCATATGAATGTCCACCGCCGTGACCGTGCTCGGCTCCACCAAACGCCGCCTGGTTTGAATAAACCCACCACCTCTCCTTCCACCGCTTCTTCCAGTGTCCTTAACCCAGATCAAAAAATCGTCACTAATGGTGGACTGTGCGTTCTTTACTCGTTACCTAACCATAATGGCGTCTTCATTCCTACAATGATGACTACGTGTATGGACTCTCCATCCAATCTTATTTCTCTTTCATCCCACTCTAGGACTAAGTTGATGTTAGCATCCTCTCCTGTAAATCTTCCGGTGACGCCTCAAAGCTTCAGTTCCTCTCTCTGTCACTCTAGCAACACTGAACCATCACCATCTGTAACTAATGATAATCAGCAGGACAATAACAACAGGGAGAAGGATTTCGCCATTGAAGAGCTTGATCTAGAGCTTCGTCTAGGGCTTAGGTCACCAGTCCATTGAGTATGACCTTGTTGTGCTTTCTGCGAGAATGAGCGCCCGGTGTACTGTGTAAGATACAGATCAATTGTTTCATTCACTTGTGTGAGATTTTTTTTTTTGGATACATGGGTTTATTATTTGATGGGTGTGGTGATTCAGAGAGCATTAACTGAAGTTTATTAACAATTCAATGTCAGGTTCCCAAATTAATTCAAGAGAAATGGTATTTGGATCTCAAATTTAGCCTAATTTGTTGACCTAATAAGATAGTTTCATTAGAATTATTGAATAAATAACAAATTCTTATGTTTGATAAGGGGTTCAAAGTTAATTCAAAACTTATAGTGAATTATGTAAGCAAATAAGATCGATAAATTATATCTCAATAGCATTACTCTTAATACAAATAACATTATTCATCGATTTAGAATAGAGTAATGCAACTGAAGTATAATTTATTGACTTAATGATGTGGCAGTAGTATAGTCCAATAGTGTTTTTGTAACTGTTAACTCTTGAACTTCTTTATTTTATCTAGAAATTTTTTATTCAAATTCTACCACTTGATATATCATTATATCTATAAATTAAATTAATTTATTCTAAGAAAAATTTCAACCACATCCCCTCAAGTTTACCACATCTTCAAAGACACCCCCTCTAGTTTAATTTAAACATCACTAACACCCCTACCATTAAACTATTATTTCTAACAAATAAACATTTATCTAAAATACCAAAAAATGCCCCTACATAACCTCAAGTAATTTTTTTACATAAAATTCTATTAAAATTCAAGCTGTTAAAATTTTAAAAAAAATTATAAATAACAATTTTAGTAAATAATTTGTTAGTAAATACTAATTTGTTATTTACTAATTCATAAATTTAAAAAAAAATTGAGCCTATTAAAATTTTTTTGTACATATTAAAATTTGAACCGATTTGAACTCTACCCGAGTTGTTAGCGCTGATTAAAATTCTCTGTCGAGTCAATTAAAATTTATATTTTTTTACTTATTAAAATTCGTGTCAATTAAAATTAGATTTATTAAAATTTAAGTCAATTAAAATTCATATATTTTTATATATTAAAATTTGGACTGATTAAAATTCAATGTGAATTAATTAAAATTTAATTTGAGTCAATTAAAAATAATTTTTAATTGGCTCAAACCAAATTTTAATTAGCCCAAATTATAATACGTAAAAAAATACAAATTTTAATTGGCATAAATTTTAATATGTAAAAAAATAAATTATAATTAGCTTGAATCGAATTTTAATCTGTTCGAATTTAATTACGTAAAAAAAATTATAAAACAGAAGGGGTCTTATTGAAAATATACTTATCTAGAGAGGGTCTCATTGAAGATATGTTTATCTAGAGGGGGTGTGAATGAAGTTTGTCCACAAATATATCATGGGCAAGCTAGTTTTCCGTTTGTGTGTACACACACACACACACCCAGAGACGGTTGAATATATATATACACACACACACACACACAGATGGCTGAGAAAGTGAGAGAAGTCTAATGATTTCAAATTAGTTCTTCGCCGAGAGAGTGAGAGAGAGAAGGCTTTGGAATCCTTGGTGCAGAGGCGACGAAGATTAGGGTTGGGGTTAGGGATAAGGCTTGGGGTTGGGTTTGGATTTGGATTTGAGTTTGTGTTAAAGAGAGGGGAAAAATAATATTTTTATTAAGATAGTTATTTCCGTCTAACCATTGGGGTTTCAGTGTAATTTTTAAAATGTGTGGCGGTATCCGTGTAATAAAATCAAATATCATGAGGTGTGAATATAATTTACTCTTTAATTTACCAAACTATTTCTAATTGAACTGTTTGGGTTGGACTTGTTTATTAAACCATGTAAGCTTTTTAGTTTTGTTTTTAAATTTCGATAGCATTGCTCATTTCAAATACATCTTCGTATTCAATAATATTATTGAGATTTAAAAATTTAATTTAATTTGTTGATCTAATAATATTGTTGTAACTATAATTCTTAAGCATCTCGATCAAAACACTATTATTTGATATATCACGATATTAATAAATTTGATCATACTTCTTCCTATTTGATGATGGTACTGAAGTTCCAAGACATTCTACACTTGTGGACAGTGGACCCCGAACAAAAATTTGTGGCAAGATAGAGATAGCAGGCTATGAGACCACAAAATATGCAAAGGCCTGCATGATTTCCTAGTACTGGCAGAACAGGTAGCGCTTTGGTCCCCTCGTCTTGAATGAGATGCTTCAGTTGCCGACTTGGCTAGGGTGCCGAACAAAGTAATTTTAGTATTGTACTTTTAATTTTTATTACTTTAATGAATGTTTTTATAATATTTGTGAGTTATTTTATAATTAAAAAATATATTAATTTTGTGGATAATTTATTATTTTTGTGAATATTTTTATCACTGTTATGGATATTTTTACCACATTTGTGATAACTATTTTTATCATTTAGTACAAAAAATTTTATCATATATTATGAGTATATTTATTACATTTGTGAGTATTTTTATCACATTTGTGAATATTTTTACTACTGATAATTATTTTTACTCTTTTTTGGCATACTATACTAGTGATAAAATGACTCATAAATGTTATAAAAGTAATTATGATATGAATTTTTTTTTTTCGGATGTCGTAGTCACCTCCTTCAGTTGCATAACGCATAACTATGATTTCAATATTTACCGTGCACAAAATATTAAGTAATGATGTATGAACTTAAAAATTAATTTTAAAAATTAAATTTAATAATCATAATTATTGAATAAATAATAGGTTTCAATATATGTTAAGATTTACACTGAAATTAATAATTATAATTATCAAATTTATTTTTTAAATCTAATTTTTAAATATATATAGCATTACCGTAAAGTATTAGGCAGTTGCACAAAAAGAAAAATAAAAGGCCTTTTAAAGGCAAACCCAATAAACAAAAAAAAAAGAAAGGAAGGAAGGGAGAAAAAAACAACCCCCACGGTAGAACATAGTCTTACGAGGCAAACCCTATTGCTGATGATGGTGCCTGACAAGATCGACCAAGATTCGGAAAGTAAATAATATCTCTGCGGCTAAGATAAGGAGAGAGAAGCTGAATAAACCAAGACTTGGACAGAAAAAAGTGGTTTCAATCTAGATTATCATATTTTTAACATTATTTCGAAATTTTACTGGCGGTCCTCGTTAGTTATTCAAAAAAAAAATTTATACAAAGACCGATGTTATAACTTAATTATTTATATTTCAACAATTTTTCTCACGTGTAAGATAGATTTTGGGTGTATCATGTAAAATTTTTTTTAATAATTAGAATGACGGTGAAAATTAAAAACATATAATTTATTATTCTGATATCATATTAAATAAATATTTTTTAAAAAATTTTTAAATTATTGAAGAGNTAATTTATACAAAGACCGATATTATAACTTAATTATTTATATTTTAATAATTTTTCTCATGTGTAAGATAGATTTTGGGTGTATCATGTAAATTTTTTTTTAATAATTAGAATGACGGTGAAAATTAAAAACATATAATTTATTATTCTGATATCATATTAAATAAATATTTTTTAAAAAATTTTTAAATTATTGAAGAGAGTATAAATAAAATATTTATATTTCAACGAAGTGGTGGCCATGGGGGTGTAATTGGGTGTTCGGGATTGTCGTGGTAGTGGTTGACCACTAAGCACGTTGTTATTGTTGTTGCGGTGGAGGATTAGCCATATAGTAACAGTGAGGTGGGTTGCTCAGGAAAAAAAAAAGAGAAGAGTAGAGTTGGTCATTCACACAGAGGGGCTACAGGTGCGTGTCGGGGGAGTAAAGGAATACCATGGGTAGTTGGTGATTGTTGCACATTGAAGATGATGAAAAAGGGTAAATATGATATTTTTCAATAATTTTCTCATGATATCAGCTCGCCAGTAACAGTTAAGCACGGTTAATCACGGTAAGGAAACGAACATATNGAAAGAGAAGAGTGGAGTTGGTCATTCACAGAGAGGGGCTACAGGTGCGTGTCGGGGGAGTACAGGAATACCATGGGTAGTTGGTGATTGTTGCACATTGAAGATGATGAAACAGGGTAAATATGATATTTTTCAATAATTTTCTAATGATATCAGCTCGCCAGTAACAGTTAAGCACGGTTAATCACGGTAAGGAAACGAACATATAAAATAAAATGAAGTGTTGTGAAATTTCAGGTGATGCAAGTGGGTGTTACTGAAGATAGGTTAATTTAAAGAGGGTATGAGAATGAACCTTTTTGAGAGAGAGAGAGAGAGAGAGAGAGGTGTCACAAAAAGCTATGCTTGAGGGAAATGGTTTTGAGGTTTAGTCTTCTTCATTGCATAGGCTCGGAAACCTAGTCACCCTCAACAGTAATCATTGCCTTTCTCTTATCTTCATGTGCATGGATGGCAGTCTCNGTGTCACAAAAAGCTATGCTTGAGAGAAATGGTTTTGAGGTTTAGTCTTCTTCATTGCATAGGCTCGGAAACCTAGTCACCCNAGAGAGAGGTGTCACAAAAAGCTATGCTTGAGGGAAATGGTTTTGAGGTTTAGTCTTCTTCATTGCATAGGCTCGGAAACCTAGTCACCCTCAACAGTAATCATTGCCTTTCTCTTATCTTCATGTGCATGGATGGCAGTCTCCTTTCTAACTCTTCCAAAAAGCAATGACTGCTACTAAAGCGACACTTCGTCCATACACTGCAAACACAATTCTAAAAGATCGTAGAAGTTGAAGATTTTTTTTTCCCCACTGAAGTCATCAATTTCCAAAATAACTCCTATCGTTTGAAATTTTTGTATTCTCAATTGCTAGATCATTCAAGCTCTTATGAGAGCTGTGGCTAATCATATTCTTTTACTTGTTAAACATTCTTATTAAAGCAGAAATGACAAAATTCGAACTCACAATTTTAAAAATTAATAATAAGTGCAGTGACTATTTAACTATTCACAAACCTCAATCATTACTTGTGTAATTTGAAACTTACAAACTAGAATATACAAGGAATACATTCCACGAGTAACTTGTCCTCTTGTTGTTCTTCCACTCAGTTGTGTTTCATGAAATTCATCTCGGGAGATAGATAATCTTTTTAATTATTTATAGAAGTGTTAAAATATGATACGATTCATTAATATAATAATTATACGACATAAAATTAGAAGATTTAAGTTTTTTTTAAATTATTCATTCCGTAAATGAATAGACTCAATGTGATACCATTAATAAATGAACCGATTATGTNGTTAATATAATAATTATACGACATAAAATTAGAAGATTTAATTTTCTTTTAAATTACTCATTCCGTAAATGAATAGACTCAATGTGATACCATTAATAAATGAACCGATTATGTGCGAACTTACTTATAATGGTGCACAATGAGTTTCACTTTGGTTGAAATATCCAAAAGTTGCTTTGAAAAGTATTTGGACTAAAAAAAACCCTTGAGCCAATAAATTACAGAGTCCACGGGCGATGCAAATCTGACCTAATACTTTTAACTTAATGAAGAGAAAGGTGATATGATACCTTTTTTTTAAAAAAATAAAAAAAAATAATGCTACTTAAACGTAATTTATTATCTAATTTATTCTCATAATTATAATAAATTAAATCAATAAACTATTGNACCCTTGAGCCAATAAATTGCAGAGTCCACGGGCGATGCAAATCTGACCTAATACTTTTAACTTAATGAAGAGAAAGGTGATATGATACCTTTTTTTAAAAAAAATAAAAAAAAATAATGCTACTTAAACTTAATTTATTATCTAATTTATTCTCATAATTATAATAAATTAAATCAATAAACTATTGACATTATTGTTAAAAAAAATATTATCAAAACATATCAATTTTCGTATCATTGTTTCGATAGTTTTGATTAGATTTTTAATACCAAAAAATTGTGGATAGGTATCATATAAACTACTTATTTATGGAAAAATACTTTGTTAAAAATATATTGTAGATAAGTACGATTAGTTAAAAATGCATATATTGTGTCGAGATACACAATGACAGTTTTTTAAAATTTTCTTTTTATTGAAATACCATTTTCTGTAATTCATAGATTGTTTAGTTTGACAATTCCTTTTCTTTCGTGAGATTTGTTTTATTGTATCAATGATTTTCTATTTTAATAAAAATACAAATTTCTAGAATNCTGTAATTCATAGATTGTTTAGTTTGACAATTCCTTTTCTTTCGTGACATTTGTTTTATTGTATCAATGATTTTCTATTTTAATAAAAATACAAATTTCTAGAATTCATGGACGGTTTAGTTTGACAATTCCATTTTCTGTGGGATTTGTTTTATTATGTCAACGGTTTTCTATTTTAATAAATCAAGATATTGGAATTTTAAATATATATCTTCTTCTTCTATTTCAATATCTGGTGTTCTTTTTCTACTTCAACGTCTGGGTATTATTCTGTGATGTAATACTATCATATTCTTAAAAGCACTATGTGATGTCACAATGTGGTTTTTCATAATGTGTCAAACATAGCATTTAGTTTGTGTAGGAATCATAAAATGTAAGTGCACATTNGTTAAATGTATATCTTCTTCTTCTATTTCAATATCTGGTGTTCTTTTTCTACTTCAACGTCAGGGTATTATTCTGTGATGTAATACTGTCATATTCTTAAAAGCACTATGTGATGTCACAATGTGTCAAACATAGCATTTAGTTTGTGTAGGAATCATAAAATGTAAGTGCACATTTAAAAGTGTTAATTGTGTAGTTATATTATGTTGTAATATTGCCATGTCACACTATTTATTGTCGGCGATTACAGTTGAAAAAGTCGACGGTCAGACTTCAATGATGCTTCAGCGTATGTATAGTCAATAGACAAGTGAAAAAATTTTTAGTTCTCACAATTTTTGGCTATTTTTATTTTTGATTTAGTTGAAATCTCATGAATTTTATGGCAAGTTTTGTTTANCCGGCGATTACAGTTGAAAAAATTGACGGTCAGACTTCAATGATGCTTCAGCGTATGTATAGTCAATAGACAAGTGAAAGATTTTTTAGTTCTCACAATTTTTGGCTATTTTTATTTTTGATTTAGTTGAAATCTCATGAATTTTATGGCAAGTTTTGTTTAAATTTCAAACACCCTGTTTTGCTTGATATTTTAGTGGTCAAATTTCATGGGAATAATACTTAAGTTTCAACTGTTTCCAAACCCATGAAATTACGTTGGTTAGTATGTACAGGTGAGTGTATTTGACATCCACAAATAAAAAGAACCTCTCTATAAATAATTTTACTCCGAAACATTTTTACACAATTAAATTCTATATTATGTACCCACCTACAAAAAATACCTTTTAATAATGAATGAGTGGCAATAGAAAATGTATCAGGAGTTCCGCAGGCCCAATCCGTGCCGGAGGAGAAAGAAGAGGAGTTCATGGATAGCTGTCTAGCAGTGATAAAATGGGCAAAGAGGCCCAATACTGTAGGCTGCGTTGCACCAAATGACTTGATTTTTTTTTTCCTACGAAGGGTATCACACTCCAATCCTCAAGGATCAATCAGGTACACATCACTGTGTGTTACTATCCAATAGCACGACTGATTATTAGGTGTAATGGTGATATCACGTTATTATTATCACGCAATATTAAAATCTAATAAAAAAATCTATAATTGGATAAATTGAACCCCACTTCTTTAAGCACGGTGATTGTTTTTTCTATATGGATACACAATGTGTCATAGTGCCACTACCCTAATATTTTCTTCAAAAACACCTTTATATTCATGGCACATGATTTGATCTTTATTATTAATTTTTTTTTTATCGATTCTCTTTACCCAATAAAAGAAAATCTCAAGCATCTCCATCCAAGCCCCTAACATCACCAACATTCCCTGGCAAAAAATAGTGGAAACAAAGCCTGTTAGGCAAGGAAACCGAAGAAATGGGTCTGACAGTCTCAGCCCAAACCAACTCTCAGCACCACCAACCAACCACTGCCCCTAGCCCATACAAAAAAAAAAGAAAAAGAAAAGGAATAATGTAACAACAATTCCACTAAAAAAATTTTATGGCCTGTTTAGATTGTGTTCCAAAAACAGATTTCTGTTCTTCAAAATAATTTTTGGTTAGAGATGTTATTTGGTTAGAAATCTAGGTATTCAAAAAAAAAAAAAACTAAAATAAGGAAGACATTCTCTATTCTTTAATTCTTTAATGAAGTTCACGCTTCGAACTTTGTTAGCAACAAAGACTCCCATTTTTTTTTCTTTTGTCCGCCTCTCTCATTTGCTCTCTCTCTCACTCACTTCCTCTCACTCAACAAACAAATATATATATATATGTGTGTGTGTGTGTGTGTGTGTGTGGGTTATGTGTGTGCGTGCGCGTGTGTGTTTTGTGGAGAGAGAGACAGTGAGAGGGGAAAGAAAGAAAGAGAGAGATGAAAATTGAGATTTTTGTGGATTATTGTCTAAACAGATTTAATAATATTTCGATCTTTAAAATTATTTTTAAAAATATATAATCAAATAGATTTTGCAATCTAAAAATTTTAAAAAATACTTTCTTAAAACTTTTCTAAAAAGTTATTTTCAAAAATTATTTTTTGAGATGCAATTCAAACACGCCTTTTGTTTGCTAATTTGGATCAAGTAATGCTATTTATGTCTAATGCTAATTTGGATCAAGTAATGCTATTTATGTCTAATTTGAACACTTATAATTATTACATTAGCAACAAATCTTAATATTAAATAGACATAAACTATAAATTAAGGATAAATATTAATTTTTTTTATGAGACACTATTATATAGATAAGATGACTATTATAATTTGGAGAGACTTATGAAGCACGAATACTTCGTTGAGGTAGGCGTATTCGTATAAGATATTTTATTAGATACGATACTTGTCGGATACTTGAAGATACGTATCGAAAACACCTCCTATGTATGTGATAATAATTAAATATTATGATATTTTACGGATATTTTTGTGTTCAACCAATATATATAATTTTTAAGTTGAATTTTTAACATTTTCTTTTGAATTCACATACCATACAATACATTTACAAAAATTTATATTACTTCAAAGGCACATGAGTATTTTTTAAATATTAACTATAATTACATGTCAACAGAGCATAAAATAAATTTATTACACTATAGTTTTAACAAAAATTACTTTTAAATAAACCGATAAATATTAGTTTTGATTCATTTAATTAATCATTTCACTTTATGAATATATCATAGTGATACGATAAATATTTTCTTCAAATTAAAAAGAATTACTAATTTTCTTTATTGTGTTAAAAAATTACCAAAATATATAATTATTATGTTGATTGAAAATAATAAAAATATTAAATATATTTTATTATAGCTGTATTTTAATCGTACTCGTATCTTTCTTTTTTAGATTTTGTAGTATCGCTGTATTCATGTATCGTACCTATTTTTTTGTATTTGTATCCATGCTTCATAGGGAGATACAAAGTTCAAACCCACCTTTTAAAATATATATATGTAATTTTAATGGTAGTTCAAGTGATAATACGATGAATTGCAAGTTCGTTATAAAATTGAATCTTAACAATCTCTTAAGATCATGTTATGAAATATTTATTTTTTATAAATATTCTTATTTTGACGTAGATAACCTACATTTGATCAGACTGAACAAGAGATTAATCGAAATGAACATAAATTAAAAAAAAAAAAAAAAAAACCTATACAACTGAATGGAATACAGTACTCTGCCCATCGTCGAATATATTAGTACCGGTAGTTCCGGATAGGTGGGTAGGGCGAGAGAAAGGCTTCGACTGGCTCACAAACCATCGTGTCCTCATCTCTCCCTTCCTCTCTAGTTCACATCTCCCTCTCTCTCTCTCTCTTCTTCATCTCTATATCTCTGTCGATGTTAATGTGTGAGATCCACTTCTGCCCAACCCACAGTCATATTTTGTCCAACCGCAACTCTCGTATGCCTCTGAATCTCTATAGAGATTCATATCCTTTATAAACTTCTTTCCATCAACTGCCAACCCGATTCTCACTTTCACAAACCCTTATCACAAGACTGCAATCTCGATCCAGCCCACCAATCATACGTTGGAATTTCAAAATGATATCCACTTGGTAATTCACTCTTGATCATCAAATCTCTCTTTTCCGTCTGCGGGTGTTTGCATATATTTATATTCTTGATCTAACTTCTATTTTTTATCGATTTGTCTTCTCAGATTGTCCTGTCCAAGGTTATTCAATAAGTGGTCAATTCAATTCCCCCCCTTCTCATTGCAATTCTTGTTGTGGGGTCAAGAAAAATAAGCCGAGGTAACGTATTCATTATCAGTCAATGGTAGTATATTGTTAATGTGTGTCACAGGCTCATATTTATATATGTGTGTGTGTGTGTGTGTGTGTGTGTGTGTGTGTACTGTGTTCTATTTGCCAAAGTTTGTAGTTTTGACTGAGATCACTAGGATTAGAGTTGACATTTAGGATTCAATCTTTTGGCACCAACATAGGTGCTTATACAAATCCTGCATGATGTGTTGCTTTGTATGTCATTGTGTGAAGTTTTGATTGCTTTCCAGCCCCTTTTTTCTTGTCTTGGACCAGTGCCTCGATGCTTAGAGTATCTAAAGATTTCTAAACTGAAGTTATATGTGAATGATAATGTCCCATGATTTTGCACCTTGTCACATTCATATATATTCATATTAGCAATCCATCTCATAAAGTCTATGCAAAAAAAAAAAATTGATGTAAACTTTTGTGGAATGGTCCCATGGTGAAACAAATTGTTGGGTAATATATGTCTTGAGGGCTTGAGGGTTTCCTTGTCTTTATAAGAGTCAAATGTCCTTATGATACATGAACAACGACAAAAATAATTGTTGCAAACGTTTCTTATTTTGGCCCTGTGTGAAGCTATTCCTAAGATCGAGTCAATCATCCACAATGCCTCCAATATGACTGCCCCAAAAGACCCAAAGCATTGCCTAAACTAAGTTTAAATTGGTTCAGTTTGTTATGTTATGTGGAAAGGTGGGCATTCTTTTCTTTTCTTTTCTTTTTATTGGGGTGTGGGGAGGGTGTTTGTGTAGAGTGGCTGTTTATCAATCTGTTGTTGTGAGGTCCTCAATGTTCTTAATGAAGAAAGTTGTTTTCATATAAACTTGATTACTGCTCCTGAATAATTTGGTGATGATAGATTTTCGTGCGTAGACCAAAGCTCCTTTGTTTTGCAAGTCGATAGCGCATAATTGTCATATTCTGCATAACACAAGTCCTTTCAATTGTAAATGTAACAAAAGCTTCAATTAGATTGTCTCCTTTACATTTTACATTTTGAGCAAGGCTTTAGCTTTTCTATCTGAGCTTATTAACTTGTATATAAGCCTAATCTTGTCTGTGTATGTTCCCAATTACAACACCTGCACCTTTACCAATCCAAATAAGAGATGTTAAACTAATAATTTTAATGCTGCCAAGCACTCAGTTTGCTTTTGGTGGTTAAACTTTTTTGAATCGAGTTCTTGTGATTTGTAGGAGACCGCATAATGACATCAATTGTGGTCTTATTCAATGGTGACCTTATTTTGATCTACAAACATTTAGAAACTTACCTAACCACCCTTCTCAACCATAAGCACCCCCAAAATTAAACTTGACCGAAAAGTCCATATGCATTAAACTCAAACTTCATGCTCAACCTTTTAACAATGATTTTAAGTTTTTACCATTATTTTATTTATCTTAAGAGGAATCTTAAGATGATATTGTCCTTATTTAATTATATTATAAGGTCTTACAAGTTGAACTTAAGTTGTTCAAAGGCCGCTTTTCCCTCACTAGCCTCGGTCTCCATGTTGCTTTGAGATTTTCGATTTTGTAGAGCATAATCTCTATAGCAATCTCCAGATGGTTCAAGCAGTTTATTCAATTCTCAATTAATCTGAACCATATATCTTGCCAAAAGGATATTTTGTGTGAAATATTGACCAACTTATTTCCTTCGCCTACTCCAACAATAAAGATACACCCCTACAATCTATTTGTGCCCCCCATTGAGTAGTCCTTGCTTGTAGAAGTTTTCTTCCTAATGTTTTCTGTTGCAAGTTTGGACCTTTGATTGTTGATGTTCTTGTCACCCTTTGTTGTAGTCTGATTCCAGAAATTCATTTATATAACCACATTTTCCTTATACTGACAGTGATATTCTGTCGAGGACATCAACACCCTTTGGAAGCTAACTTTTCTTTTCTTATGTTCACAATTTGCAGATGGGTGATGTTGCTAAGGACCTAGCTTCTGGGACTGCTGGAGGGGCTGCACAGTTAATATGTGGACACCCTTTTGATACCATCAAGGTCAAGCTCCAAAGCCAACCTGCTCCACTCCCCGGGCAGGTTCCCAAATACTCAGGTGCAATGGATGCCGTCAGACAAACAATAGCAGCAGAAAGCCCAAGAGGTCTGTACAAAGGTATGGGGGCTCCGCTTGCCACCGTGGCAGCCTTAAATGCCGTCCTTTTCACAGTGAGGGGGCAAATGGAAGCATTATTGAGGTCTGATCCTGGTGCTTCCCTCACAGTGAACCAACAAATTATTTGCGGTGCCGGGGCTGGATTTGCAGTGTCATTATTGGCCTGCCCAACAGAATTGATCAAGTGCAGGTCAGTGCTATGGCCCATTCTTTCCTGGGAAATGCAACATCAGTATATTTATGTGTCCTGAATTGAACCTGATATATCACTGAAGCCTTTGTAACCCTCTCATAGTGAAGATAGTTGATCATTCTGCAGCTGAGTACTGGATAATCTCTTCACTCATCTGAGAATTTCCTACATGGTTTGGGATAGTTCCCAAATGAGCATGATACATGTGTTTGGTTATTTGTTATAAATTGTTTTTGGAAATCTGTCCAGCTTCTTTATTATGTTGTTCTCAGCTATTTTTAAATTTGTAATTATGTGTGGCACATATTTTCTTAATATCCAATTTCTGAGCAGTGGTTGGGATTTCTTCATAAAGCAGATTGCAAGCCCAAAGCGCATTGGCTGATTCTGGCTCAGTTGCTGTGGCAGTGAAGTATGGAGGACCTATGGATGTGGCGAGGCATGTTCTCCAATCAGGAGGTTTGAGGGGCCTATTCAAGGGTTTGGTGCCGACCATGGCACGTGAAGTACCAGGAAACGCTGCAATGTTTGGCGTCTACGAAGGCCTAAAGCAGTACCTTGCAGGAGGCCAAGACACTTCTGGATTAGGAAGAGGCTCACTAATTGTAGCTGGAGGCGTGGCTGGAGCTTCCTTCTGGTTATCTGTCTACCCAACTGATGTTATCAAGAGTGTAATTCAGGTTGATGATTACAAAAACCCGAAATTTTCTGGATCTATCGATGCTTTCAGAAAAATCCTAGCATCAGAGGGTGTCAAAGGGCTGTACAAGGGTTTTGGACCTGCCATGGCCAGAAGTGTTCCAGCAAATGCAGCATGCTTCTTGGCATATGAGGTGACAAGATCTAGTTTGGGATGATTTTTCATTTTGGCATTGTCCAAGGATTCGGATGAATGCTCGCCACTGTTATTCATTCTCTTGAGGCCATTGTTTTGCTATTTATGAAGTTGGTAATCTAAAGTGTATTGAAATTTCATCTTTGCTTTGTGAGCTTTATGTACACAAATTGCCTAGACTGTCCATGCTTTTTCTTGGAGTGTTATTTACCCCAATATTGTGTTACCACCTTATAACACCATAACTGGCATGGGCTGGGCCATCCGGACCATAGATCATCAACAATTTTACTCGGGCTAGACCGCCCAAAAACCACTTTCAGCTCGTTGGGCAAGTTCTAATGGGCTTCTAACACGCTACCCATCAGGCCATGTATCTAACCCTGTCCGTTGGTTTATCAGATTACCTATGATTTGCCACGTGACTGATCGAGCCGATACATTTGGGATGTCGAGCTAACAGATCATCCCAAAGTGATAGAGATTTAAATTCCTTCTAATATATTCTGTTTTCAATTCCATTCTTAACAGATAATCTACTATTGATAATGGAGAGATCCGCTTATATACAATAGAATGTATGATAAATGATACGTCAATAAAAGAATTTTTAAAAAAAAAAATATATATATATATATAAGAGGGAATCCGACTCTGAGTCACAGGCCATTTGCCAACCCCTATCCTCTTTTTTAAANCACGAGCATGAAAGACGGGATTAGAAGCAAGAGCAATGGCACTGACATTGTCACACCAGAACACCGGTGGAGATGTAATGGGAATATGAAGGTTCTTTAGCAACATACATAACCAATATAATTCAGCAGTAGCGATGGCCGTGGAATGATATTCAGCTTCAGTACTAGTGTAGGAAATCATTGATTGTTTCTAGGCATCCCAAGAAACAAGGCATTGTCCAAGGAATATGTCGAAGCCACCGGTGGAGCGAAGATCATCAGGGCCACCTGCCCNCCCCTATCCTCTTTTTTAAAGGGGGAAAAGTTAGAACGATGAAAAATTTGAGGGATAAAAAAAATATCATATTTAATAAAGAAGAAAAATAGGAAGAATGAAAAAGTGGATGGATTAATTTTTCTTTCAACTCACCAAAATTAATCCCTCTAAATCAAAAGGAAAATAGANAAAAATATCATATTTAATAAAGAAGAAAAATAGGAAGAATGAAAAAGTGGATGAATTAATTTTTCTTTCAACTCACCAAAATTAATCCCTCTAAATCAAAAGGAAAATAGATGAAAAATTAATTATTTGTGTTAAAATGTATCTTATTTATTTATGCATTATATATACATTAATTTCATATTAAAATACAATGATATTATATATATATATATATGTATATATATATATTAAAAAAATTAAAAATAATAAAAAAATAATAATAATTAAAAAAATATTTTAATTAAAAAAATATTTTTTCATCTTAACTAGGATTGAAAATTTANTACATTAATTTCATATTAAAATACAATGATATTATATATATATGTACATATATATAATAAAAAAAATATTTTAATTAAAAAAATATTTTTTCATCTTAACTAGGATTGAAAATTTACGACTTAACACGATAACACAACTCGAACTCGACATAAACTTAATTATAACTCGACACGAATTTGAAAATGACCTGTCACGCGAATAAGAAATATAAAAAACTCATAATTTTATGATTCAACACGAATTTAATACGACACGACTCGATTGTCACCTATAATCTTAGACAGCACAAAAAAAAAATTAAAAATAATTATTTTTATTTTTCATTCATCCAACTAAATACAAAGAAAAAAAAAATGTATCATTCTTACTTTTCATCCTTGAAGGATAAAAAATATATTCATTCTACTTTTCGTCCTCCTTACTAAACAAAGCATTTGAGGCATCCTTGGAATGACCAGTAGATATGACAAACTCNTTAAAAATAGTTATTTTTATTTTTCATCCATCCAACTAAATACAAAGAAAAAAAAATATATTATTCTTACTCTCCATCCTTAAAGGATAAAAAATATATTCATTATACTTTTCATCTTTCTTACTAAACAAAGCATTTGAGGCATCCTTGGAATGACCAGTAGATATGACAAACTCATTTGATAATGACAATCAGTAAATAATCAAACTCTCCCAACTTTTCTGAATCATTATGCAATTCTCCCATTGAATAATGAGTATTAGAGGAAAAATTATAGTGAAGGAAAAAAAAAAGACAAAATTCTATAACTGATATGCTCCCAATTGCGGCTTAAGCTTTTCAAGATAATTAAGTTGAATAATATTGCCAACATCATATGCTTTAATTACTTTTGGATATTATTATTTTAAACCAAAAAGCATCATTAAATAGATATCTCGAGCTCAAAATTTAGTAATTCTTTTGAGATCAAATTACGAAAAATTTATTTCTCATGAATTTTTTATCTTCGAAATGGATAGTCTCCCTTAATCGAATCAAAGAATACGTAAATTAATTTTAACACCCCTGACCATAATGGTGGAAAAAAAAATTAGGCACCAAAAATTGAAATTAATTATTATGTCTAGTCACTAGGCCATGGCACAAACATTTTGCACCAATCCAACATTCTTTTTTTTTTACTACTTTTTGGGAAGTCAAAAGAAAAGATATGGACAAGNAACATCATATGCTTTAATTACTTTTGGATATTATTATTTTAAACCAAAAAGCATCATTAAGTAGATATCTCGAGCTCAAAATTTAGTAATTCTTTTGAGATCAGGTTACGAGAAATTTATTTCTCATGAATTTTTTATCTTCGAAATGGATAGTCTCCCTTAATCGAATCAAAAAATACGTAAATTAATTTTAACACCCCTGACCATAATGGTGGAAAAAAAAATTAGGCACCAAAAATTGAAATTAATTATTATGTCTAGTCACTAGGCCATGGCACAAACATTTTGCACCAATCCAACATTCTTTATTTTTTACTACTTTTTGGGAAGTCAAAAGAAAAGATATGGACAAGAATTGAAACCCCCACAAAGTGGAAATATTAAATATAATAGAAGCCAACATTAAGGCAAAGTCATGGTGGCTTGCAAAGACTTTTTTGATAACTCATATCCACGTATTATAATATGTATGTTTATATATAATTGCTTTGCCTGGTTCCATACATTTTAGGTTTTGAGTCGAGATTGCCATCACCATTCAATAGAGTAAAGAGTGTAATGATACTTCAAATAATGTGAGAAATGTATTTAAAAATAATAAAAGTTATGGTAAATATTGAAAATAAATGTTTTTAAATCTCTTAATATGAGAGTGTCCTTAAAGATGAGAATATATAAAATAATTCCNCTAATACGAGAGTGTTCTTAAAGACGAGAATATATAAAGTAATTCCATAATTTCAATAAAATTTAAATTGCGTCCAGCTCAGCTCGGGTTTTTGTAGATCAACTTAATTGAATGGTGAACAATTTCAGCTCGATGGGACAACAAATGGATGAATGAATACAAATTTTTAAGATTAAAAAAACAAAAAATATTGTAAAAAAACAAAATCACCTGAACTTGGTTTTGCTTTCATCCCATTTGGACCAACTGATCTGGCAATGAACTGTTTCACCAGCCAGGGGGGCAGAACCCGGCTGTTCTCATCTCTTTGCTGACGCTTAAGCTTCTAATTTTATATTCCCACACTACACACCATACCACCATTATAAAATTATAATAAATACAAAAAAAATTATTTAAAATTAATTTGAAAATTAATTTAACTTCCAAATCAATTAGAATAGTTAGATTAAAAGTGGGCTTCATCTGGTATTAAAACTAATCCTTCGTTAACTTAAAAAATGGTATAAGGACCTAGTCTATGGATGAAATAAATTATTGTTGGTAGATTGAAAATGGCTTTTATCTACGATTAAAACGATAGTGAATGACTTGTCTTTAATTGGATTAAAAAAAATTAGTCGAGAAACACGTAGATTGATTTAAACATTCGTGATCGATGAATTAAAAAAAAATTAATTTAATAATTACATTGAACTAAGTCTCTAATTAAGCTTTCAAAATAGATCTCATTGAATTAAAATTTTTAATTAGATTCCTAAAGTATGTCATTAAATAAATAAATTTAAAATAATTTATAAACAAATATAATTTATTTTCTTCCCTCACCTTCCATTCTCTCTTCTTCTCTCTCTCTCTCTCTCTATAACTTGCACTCTCTTTGTAGAAGTTGTAGCCGGAAAATGGAGAAAGGAGAGACCTCCATGGCCGAAGAGCAACAACAAACCGAAGAAACGGCCACGACCCATCATTTGACGATCCCACCTGTTCTGACCCAGGACGAGTTCGACGAGTTGAGACCACTGATCATCGAGTTCCACTCATACCGAGTCAACACCGGCCAATGCTCATCCCTACTTGCCCAACGCATCCACGCGCCACCTGACACCGTCTGGTCCGTCGTCCGACGCTTCGACAATCCTCAAACCTACAAGCACTTCATCAAGAGCTGTGCCGTGAAAGAAGACTTTAAAATGACGGTAGGTGACACTCGTGAGGTGAACGTCATATCGGGTTTGCCAGCGGCGACTAGTACAGAGAGATTGGATATTCTTGACGATGACCGCCACATCACGGGGTTTAGTATCATCGGCGGCGAGCATAGGCTGAGTAATTATCGGTCGATCACCACGGTGCATGGGTTTGAGCGTGAGGAGAGGATCTGGACCGTGGTCTTGGAATCGTACGTCGTGGATGTGCCGGAGGGTAATTCCGACGAGGATACGACACTGTTTGCCGATACGGTGGTGAGGTTGAACCTGCAGAAGCTAGCGTCGGTCAGCGAAGGTATTGCACGCTAGGCCGCCGACGGCCAGTCTCAGGTGAAGATGTAAATTAAAAAAATAGCATTGCCGGGGAAAAAAAATTAAAAATAGTTTCTTTTTTTAATTTCATCCAGTTGTTTATTTTTAATGTGTTAGGTTTTGTTTTTGATTGTGAAATCCCCAGAACGTCCTTTGTCTCAAATGGGAGATGGGCTTTTTTTTTTTTTTTTATATCTGTGTTACTAGTTACATGGGTTGGGAAGGGCATTATAGACAATGTGGATGCATAAAAATGCTTGATATGAGGTTGGTGGTGTAATTTTGTTTGGTTCTTTTTCTAAAAGAAATATGGATTTTTGTTTCTTGTTATTATCTTGTCGTTTTATTTTATTCAGTGTAAGATGTATGATAAACGGTCAGACATATAATGCCAAGGAAAGAGAATAAATAATAGGGGTACTTAGCCTTGAATATTAATAATAGTTAATAGGACCATTTTGTTNTAATCAATTAGAATAGTTAGATTAAAAGCGGGCTTTCATCTGGTATTAAAACTAATCCTTCGTTAACCTAAAAAATGGTATAAGGACCTAGTCTATGGATGAAATAAATTATTGTTGGTAGATTAAAAATGGGTTTTATCTACGATTTAAACGATAGTGAATGACTTGTCTTTAATTGGATTAAAAAAAAATTAGTCGAGAAACACGTAGATTGATTTAAACATTCGTGATCGATGAATTAAAAAAAATTAATTTAATAATTACATTGAACTAAGTCTCTAATTAAGCTTTCAAAATAGATCTCATTGAATTAAAATTTTTAATTAGATTCCTAAAGTATGTCATTAAATAAATAAATTTAAAATAATTTATAAACAAATAATTTATTTTCTTCCCTCACCTTCCATTCTCTCTTCTTCTCTCTCTCTCTCTCTCTATAACTTGCACTCTCTTTGTAGATGTTGTAGCCGGAAAATGGAGAAAGGAGAGACCTCCATGGCCGAAGAGCAACAACAAACCGAAGAAACGGCCACGACCCATCATTTGACGATCCCACCTGTTCTGACCCAGGACGAGTTCGACGAGTTGAGACCACTGATCATCGAGTTCCACTCATACCGAGTCAACACCGGCCAATGCTCATCCCTACTTGCCCAACGCATCCACGCGCCACCTGACACCGTCTGGTCCGTCGTCCGACGCTTCGACAATCCTCAAACCTACAAGCACTTCATCAAGAGCTGTGCCGTGAAAGAAGACTTTAAAATGACGGTAGGTGACACTCGTGNTTTCATGTATACTCATCTCTTATTTGGTTTAAATATAGACGAATTGCACTTTTATCCTAAAAATGTTTAAAAGTTTTACTTTATTTTCTCAAAGATTAAATTTTTAAATTGTATCCTTAATGTATTAAATTTGTAACAATGTGATCCTTCTATTAACTTTCTATTAGTTTTTATGTTAGTATCAATGTGGTGACTTTTGACAAAAATTAACAAAAATGTCATATAACAACACTTTTGAAACACTAAAGTACAATGTGAGAAATTTAATATTTGAAGGTATAAAATGAGAATTTTAAAATATTTTAAGGTGCAAAGTGTGAAATAGTTTGAAGAGTTGTGGACCTACACTTTTCTCTTCTTCAACCTTAACTCAAATATAGGGTCATATTTAAATTTAAGTCAAAATGACCTAAAACCTTAGATTCAAATCTAAACCAAATTAAGGTAAAATTTATTGTTGACCTAAATTGAAACACACTCAAATTCTATATTAAAATTTTAACAGTAATTTTTTAACCTATCCAAAACTAAAAGATTTTTTGACGATTTGTTCTTTGCTTCTTCTTGTCTCTCTCAATTACGTTGCTTCGCGAACCACTATTAAAACTTTTACTAATCATTTGAAAGCTTGCAAGTAAGTTTTTTGCCTTTTCATCTTCTTGATTTTTTATATTTTTCAAAACTCTAATCTCACCTATCTTTTATACTGTATAAACCCTAAGTTTACTTATCAATTTTTTCTTTAATTTTTTCGAGTTAAACACTATCTGTAGTACAATTTCAAGCTTCCAATTCTTTTTGAATTTTTAAACTTTCACTACCCACAAATTTAGAAAATTCGTCATTTGATTTCTTTAATCTTTCATTTTTGTTAAAAATATATGTTTTTGTGTTCTCCAGACTAGGCTCATATCAAAATAGTTATATTTGTTTTTATTTGAATTTATAAAAAATGAAAAGGGATTAAAACAATTTTAGAATTCTAGACTAGGCTCATATCAAAATAGTTATATTTGTTTTTATTTGAATTTATAAAAAATGAAAAGGGATTAAAACAATTTTAGAATTCTAGGGTGGTTTCTTTATTCCCATGCAATGTTATATACATATTTGTTTTTTTTTTTTTTTTGAATTACCCATGTGTAAAAAGATATGAAAGTTTCATTTATTTTATCAAAATACCATGATTTGAATGACACCAAAAAAAAAAGAATTTTGGGATAATAAGGAAATTTTTAAAAAGATTTAAGTAAATATTTGAGTTTACTCATTAGAGTGCTCTATACTAAATCAAGTATTTTACTTAAATTTAGACTCAAATTTGATTAAAAAAATCCAAAAATTTGCTCCATTGGCTCAAATTTATACTAAATCAAACGAGATTCACTTTTTTACTTAAATTAAGGGAGATTCAAATCCTTATCCAAATCCTTAATGGTGAGTTTCACCCTCTTCTAAAAATTTAATGTTCATCTTTATTCTCTTTTAAATTTGAATTTGTCCTTCTTTAAATTTAAGTTTGTCTATTGGAGCCCTTTGTATCAAATCAAATTTTTTGCTCAAATGTTAATTTAAATTTGAGTTTATGGTTAGACATGCTTTAACATTTTGTTTGAATGAAATATTGAATGATTATATAACTATTAAAATTATCAAAAAACCCCTAAATTAGTACAATACATACCCATGAAATCTATAAATAAATAGGATAAAATGGACACACAAATTTTTTTTTCTTTGTTTTTTTTAATGGGGTGTTATTTTTTTTAGTTCTCATTCCTAATACCTAATTGAAACACACCCTTTGAATTTGGCTTATCTTTTAAGTTTATTTTAGGGAAACTCTGTTTAATGCAATCGATCCATAGCCAACCTTCAGCAAATACAATTTAGGAATATGAATGAAGTCTATATATATATATATACATACATACATATATATTGATGGGACACTTTTAGAAGGACTTCAGGTCAACGACATGTGTTTTTGGCGCCGAGATACTTTATCCCCTCTGGCAAGGCCACATGTCCTCGACTCCAAGGCATGTTCCATCCCTCGGCTCTGAGGGAGGAGCTAAATTCCCTCGCACCCGAGGGTACTGCCATCGACTTCGCCATAGAACTTTGGCTTCTGGGGAGACTATTGACTGACAACTAAGCAGCTTAAGTCAAACTAGGAACTATGAGATCACTCTGCACAATGAAGTCAGAATGGCAGGATGAACTGGACACTCAACCAAAGAGAATCGAACACGTAACATAAAGTGCATGATAGGGGATAGAAGGACATAACTACCCCTATTGATTTACGGCTATTCAGGCAAGCATTTAATAAATCCTCAGTCATGGGACGTCCACGGTGCCTTGGAAAGTCAAGGGCGTGAGGTATTAAATGTCCTAGGTTCCTAGAATTTAAAGCCTTTGCATAAAAAAAAAAAGAGCATTAACTGCTCAGTGGCCCGAGCAATTAATACAGGGACATTTTCCATGCAAAAGAGGAGGCACACTGCCCCATCCCTTAAGGCTACCTACTGCCTAGACTACCTCTAATGATGAGTTTTTGAAGGTATAAATGGCCCAAAGAAACACATTACAAAGGTACGCAAAATCATTTCTCAAGAGTCACACAGTGTTTTCTTCTTCTCTTCTCTCAACGAATTGATGTAATCGTCGGAGAGGATACGCCGAAAAATACTCCGGTGCCTTTCTAACTTGTTTTCTGTGTGTCAAGAACGTTCTGCAACCCATCAAGATCGATCGAACAGTTCCTGAAACAATTCATCACCATTTCTTAATCTCCCTTTGGCCCTCTCAACTCACTTCTTGTTGTCGAATCCACCGCCTCGACGGGTCTGAGTTCACCGTGGAAAAGATTTGTTCTCGTTTCATTTATTGTACAAAAATTTCCCCGTACACATATGTAGGTAAAGATGTCAAATTATCATTATGCTCTATTTGGTATGATGAAAAAATGGAACGATTGAAAGTTGTAATGATGAAAAATTAGAAAGATAAATAAAACATCATGTTTGATAAAGAAGAAAAATAGGAAAAATGAAAAAGTGGATGAATTAATTTTCCTTCTAACTCACTAAAATCAATCCCTCCAAAATTGAAAGAAAAATGGATAGAAAGTTAATTATTTGTGTTAAAATATATCTTATTTGTCTATATATTATGTATATATTAAAATTTTAAAAAAATTAAAAAAATATTTTTTTCATCTTAATTAGAGGTGAAAATTTTTGACTCAACACGATAACAAGCCTCTAACTCGACGCGGGTTTTATGACATGAACTTGATTATAACTCGACACGAACTTGAAAATGACCTAACAAGCTAACAAGAAATATAAAAAGGTTCATAATTTTATAACTCAACACGAATCTGATACGACACAACTGAATTGTCACCCTTAATCTTAGTTATCACAAAAAAAAAATTAGTCATTTTTATTTTTCATCCATCTAACCAAACACAAACGAAGGAAAACGTATTATTCCTATTTTCCTTTCTTGAAGGATAGAAGATGTATCTCTCTAACTTTTCATCCTTCTTACTTTTCATCTTTCTTACCAAACAGAGCATTAAAATTTAAAAAAATATTATATAACCCAAATTTAAATTTCAAAGGACCGGAATCATTGAATTAATAGGTTTCATAAACTTTTTTTAAATAGTACCTATCGATTCAATGGACATTGTTGATTTGAGGAGTTGAATAAACATACCTGACATCAATGTAAGGACTGAGCTTTCCTTCCTCAAAACATGAGGAAAGAGGACATCCACAGAAAAACATAGACATTTATCACGACAACAAAGTTATGTTGACTAAGTTTTTCTATCAAATTTTTCATTCTATGTGACATGACATAATTTTTATCATCAAATAAATAAATTTTATTAATATTTAATGATCAAAATTGTATCACATCATTTAAAATAAAAAATTTAGGAAACATAAGATTACTGTTATTGTTAACCAAACAAACAGAAAAATGTTTAGCAGGGTACAGGTTGGCAGTAACAGTTTGGACCCTTC